TATCTCTACTTAGTACCCACCTGTCCGAAAATATGCAAGTCACCTCCCTGGAAGTCCCTCCAGGTGGTCGTTTACTTTTGCACAGGTACCATTTCCTGAACGCAAGGCCAACTGGTTGTTAGCACGGTGAACATATACACTTCGTCGATTTTTACTTTCGCATAGTCACAACATATTCATTTATGCCACTCATCTGGCGGCGATTCTAACTGTTTACACTGTTATGAGGAGAAAGTTAAAGCAACTTTCCTTCCATTGCTATCTTCGTCACAGCCAGAGTTCGCTCTTCTGTTTTCATCACTGTCCATGTCCGTATGAATTATAATAATTCATAAAAAAATTATCCGTTCATCGCGACTTAGTTGCGATTAACTTTTAATATTATTCGATGCAAAACTCGGGTTTCGGTCCCAGCTTATTATAAGCAGTGTTGTTTATAATAAGCTAAGATTAGTTATTAGTAAAGGCCAACTCAGAAGTGAAAGTAAAATTTTCTGCACCTGAACTGGTCATGATGGAATAGCTCCACTGGCGAAAAAATATTTCCTTTTCTCGTTAGCATAAGCGCAGACGAAACCCCACCAGGTGGAGGAGATTTATTCGTCAAAATATAATCCAAAAATTTTTCGGCATCTTTACCACGTACCTGAAAATATTTTCTTACACTCACTAGCTGCTAGATTGAATTACATACGGCCTCACCATTACAAAAACTAATTTAGTACGTGATACTCATCCAATAAAGATATTGGGGTGCCAAAGATGGAAGGAGGGGGACGGGAGCATGGGGGAGGGGGGAGGAGGAGATGAATCGCAGAAACCAAGGTCCAAACTTCCCCGCAATTACTTTTTATAAGAGGTAGGGAAACAGTCCCAACTGTAGCACATGCTAACAGTAACTACCTCCCAGTATAAATTTCGGTGGCTTACTCTTCCGAGAGTTACCTAAAAGCAGGATAACGGTGAATTTAATTTCCTGGCAAATGCTAATGCCAATTTGCTATTGAAACAAATGAGCGATTGTAAAGATTTTGACTGTTTTACAGGGCAGGGGGGTGGGGAGGGGTTGAGGCCTTGTGCAACAGCACCCATACGCTATGGCTATATAAATTAAAAAAGTCAAAACGCACCTCAATTTTGCCACGCCACGTGAGATCAATGACTCCACATTTGTTGGAGACCAACTCATATTCACGGATCATATTTGGCAGTTTGTCTTTATAAACAGCGGCA